TGCAGCAGGAGCTGCGATTTCAATCCCTGGGTTGGCAAGATCCCCTGGAAAAGGAAATGGCAGCCCCCTTCTGTGTTCTTGCCTGGGAAATCCAATGGACAGAAGAGCCTGGTGGGCTACAGTCCACAGGGTCGAAAAGAGTTGGACATAGCTAAGTGACTGTGTGTACATGCGCGCGCACGCACACACACACACACACACACACACAGTATTCACTGAGGACCTTACAATGTTCCAAATGAAGATAAAGATGCCACTGGGGCCCTCTACAAAGGACCAGTGGCCTTCCTCATCCCCCAGCCAGAAAAGCACTCTCCGCTGGACTGCACAAGGGAAAAGCTGTCAGTGGTTAGCAAGAGTCATTACTTTGGCTAATTTAGGAAATTTGGGATCTGTCCAGGAAGCTGGGTGGACCTCATTCTTCAGCATTCCATGATGGACTATTTTTCATTTTGAACTGCTTTCCTAGCCCATCAACAACAGGAGTTAAAAATACAAAAGTCAGCAGCAAAAAATATAGAGAAGTTATGTTCCCAAAGCTTCCACAGGTGGGGAGATGCAGTAGGCAACCATAAACCCCAGCCCACACCAACCTATCCTGCCATCAAAACTGAGAAGCTCAATAACCAGTGAAACTCCAATTTCAAATACATTTGATCATGTTATAAATTTGTTGTCTGGCTGCACAAACAGACTCTGGTATCCTCACTCTTTCAACAAAGACTTCCTGAGCCAGGTGTTCTGTGCTGGCACCAAGAACCCAGAGATTGCGTGTGTGTGTGTGTGTGTGTGTGTGTGTGCGTGCGTGTGTGCGTGTGTGTGTGTGTGGTCTCCACCCTAAGGAGCTCAGTTTTCTGAGCTAACAGATAGTAAATCAACAGTTACATCAATAAGTGCTTTGGGAGACAGAGCAACGCAGGGTGTTCCGGGAGCCAGGAGGAAGGTCATGTCCAGGGCATAGAGAAGTGCAGGCTGGGGGGAAGGTGTCCAGAAGAGCAGAAACCTGAGCTGAGTTACTGAAATGGGGAGCAGGGGAAGGGTCATTCCAGGGAAAGAGCCCAGCTCTGGCCAAGGCACCAAGGGGTGACAGCTGTTGAGAGGCTAGGCTGAGGTTAGGAAACCGGGCTATGGAAAGAGTGAAATGGGGAAGGTGGCTGAAGGCCAGTTATGAAAAGACTGCAGGCCTGCTGAGCCGGCTGGGGTTCTATTCTACAAGCAATGAGGAGCCCCTGGAGAGTTTGGGGGGGGGGGGGTTGGCCATGCGGTGAGGCCTGTGGGATCTTAGCGCCCTAATCAGGGATTTGAACCCTTTGCATTGGAAGCCTGGAGTCTTAACCACGGGACCACCCCGGAGGTCTGGCCCCTAAAGAGAGCTTTCAGCAGAAGAAAGCCTCGATAGATGTGTGTTAGAAACTTCATGCTGCGAGGAGATGGGGGTGCAATTAGGAAGACAAAAGCGGTCCCAGGAAGGCCAATGGAGAGGCTATTAAAACAACCCAAAGAAGGAGTCCTAAGTGAAGCGGTGGGGAGAGAGAAGGAAGGAGGGAGGGATGAAGGAGAAGATGGGCTTTTCCAGATGAGGTACGGGTGGAAGATGACCGTGGAGGGAAAGCACAAAGCCGAGGATGACTCCTGCAGCTGACACGCCTGAGGAGGTTTAAGTTCCACCTTAAGGCAGGCACTGCAGGAAGACAGACGCACTGGGGACCAGGCGAGGGCTGACCGGAAGCACCCGCCGGACCATAGCTCGGAGCGGGGGTGGGCGCGGGGTAGGGGTTGCGAGAGGCTCTGGGCATTTCCGGCGACTTCAGGATACAGGTGAGCAGTGGATGAGCTCGGCGGGGAGGAATACTGGGGCTGACCCGAGCGGGATCAAGCAAAACCTTATTAAGCTAAAGACGGAGTAAAAAGAACCGGCACAGCAGGCTGCGGAGGCCCGGTCTACAGAACTGCCGAGAAGCAGGGGCGGCAGGGCAGACAGTGAGCAGAGGAGGGGCGCGAGTGGGGAGCGCTCAGCTCCGCCAGAGGCAGGAGGCGCCTCTGACACCCAGGGGGCGCTCTGGCAGCGGGGAGCAGTTAGCTGGTGTTGGCAACCGCACCAAGCCTAGCAAAGAGAACAGTGTGGGCGTATTCGCAGTCATCCCAGAGAGCGTTATTCCCGCTTTCTTCAGAGCCTTGTCCTGCCTGTCTGACCTTAGATCTCACCCCCTCTATTCTGTCTGCCCTGCTCATGCATCTGCCTCATGAGGACAGAACTTGTCTGGTGTCTCCTCCATGACCACAGTGCCCGGCCCAGTGCCTGGGACACCAAGGTTAAGCTCCTTGTCCCAGGCTGCCTGGTTCACTAGAAACAACAAAATTCAGTGGGCACATGCTACACACCCGATACCAGGCTGGATGCTGGTGGGGAACAAGACAAAACCAGACCCTGCCCTTGGAACCTGAAGTTGGAGGTGAGCAGAGAGAAACTCAAGTATTTCAACAAAAAGCAGATTATCACCGCCGCAGAGCTAGGACTGGAATCTGACTGTCAAGCCTTCTAGTGAGATTTCCTTTCCAAGCCCAAGAGTGCTGCCTTCTCTAAACTAAAGGGACATTTCAGCTTGGGGAAACAGTCAAGTAAGTGTTTGAAGTTTAGCCACTTCTGCCACCGTTTTAATAGACTCCTAAGAAGCAGGAACACCCATTGTAGGCTCTAAATATATAACCTTAAGAGCTCATGCTCTCTCCAATCCTTCTACATAAGACAGAGGAGCAATTCCGGATTTAGGTGGGAATTAGGTGGGAAACAGAAAGCAGTGCAAACCAGGGGTCAGATACTCTGGGTTCAAATCCCTTCTAACCTTGGGCAGGTTACTCAGTCTCTTGTGATTTGATTTCCTATTGCTGAAGTGGAAACACTAATGCCTGTGTAGTAGGTTGTTGCAAAGATGAAATGAAAATGATACCTACAAAGCACTCAGCACTGTGCCTGGAACTCAGTGAGATTTCATGAATTGGAGGCTGCAAACCAGTTCCACCTGTTGCTTTTATGACTCCATCTCTAACTGATATATTTGTGAAAACCAAGCCAAAAACTACTTAGAATTCAAACCCAAGAACACTCAAAGTGTTCGAAACATAAATTGCTATCTAGTTAAGTGACTTGAGGAATTGTCTCAAATTCCCATACTTGGGCAGACTCTGCAGTAAGGAGTTTCATTTCCATTTCTTGCTCTATCCTATTTTCTCCTCCAATTCAGGCAAATGCAACTATTTCCTCAACAGATCACATCTTGTCTCATGGCAGGGGTCCAGACACGGACTGGATTCCACTGGTGCAAGTTGTAGCAGAGCTCAGAACGCCACACCTCAAACAAAGCGTAAGAACACAATCGCAAGCCCAAGGTACACACAAACTCCGAAACACACCTGGCTCCAGAGAAGGACAGGAGGACTGGTCACAGCATGCTTTTCTTGCCTCAAAGCTAAAAAGCTTATTTTGGCATTCAGATGCTGAAATCTTTGTATCTCTTTTCTTTTACCACTCAAACTCTCCATAACTGGTCTCTTTTTACTAATGTCTCTGATTCTTAATCCCTCATTTATGACGGACCCTCTGCAACCTCGCTGCCTCCCGCCCTCTGCCTCCCCGCAGCATGTTCTCAAGGCCAGCTGTAACTACCTTATCACTAACACAGCAGCCTTCCCTCAGGTCCCTTTCTCCCTGGTCTCTGCTGCCCCATCCTCTCTGCTTCCTGAGACTCTCACCCCCTTGGCTTCTGGTTCTCTTCCAGCTTCTGTTTTTCCCATCCCAGAGTTATGCACACTCGCTAAGGCTCAGCTCTCGGCACATCACGGGGAGCACTTATTAATCCCATGCTTCTGTTCTACATCTCCAGGCCTACCCTTCCCAGCCCAGGTGCTGGCCATGCATTTCCAATGATCTGTTAGACATGTCCTGTGGATGAACCACTGCCACCTCGAATTCAGTATATCTAAAACTGGATGCACCAACTATCCTTCTGCACCCTGAACAGCCACATTTTGGTCAATGGTATGAACTATCAAGTTTAAACTTTCATCTTCCTTGGCTCCTGTCTTTAAAGTCTAAGACCACAAACCCTACATTTCTCCCTTTGCACTATCTCTTCTTCTGGTCCTTTGCTCCATCTTAACCACCGTTAGCCACATGACTTCACGCCTGGACTGCTGCTGCTGCCTTGGAACAGAGCCTATGCTTCTTGTCCAGAATGCCCCTAACATGTTACTTCGGCCATTTTACTTCTTTGCTCCAAATAACTTCAATGGCTTCCTACTGTCTCCAAGTGCCTCAGCCTAGCACTCAGGGTCTAGAAGAGGGGTGGGCAAACTATAGCCCACAAGCCAAATTCTGTCCACTATCTATCTTTGTAAATAAAGTATAATTGGAACACAGCCACACCATCACAGACATATTATCTATGGCTGCTTTCCCGCTACAATGGCAGAGTTGAGGAGCCATGATAGAGACCATATGGCCTAGGAAGCCGAAAATATTTACCATCGGATCCTTTACAGAAAAAGTTTGCTGACCCTGGTTTACAGTAATCAGGCACCAGCAGATCCTGCCAAACTTCTTACTCACCACTCCTGTGGATGAAATTTTTGTTCTCATGGGTCTTTTGCAGAGTCCACTTTCTTTCCATCTTATACCCACCTTCTCAAGCCAGAAAAGCATATTTCATCCCCCAACTGGACTTGTCCATCCTTCAGAACACAGTCAAGCTCTGCCTCTCTGTGAGGCCAGCTGTATCCGTCCCCTGCACCTGGGATACTTCCCCTCTGGCCTCTCTCTCTGTATCTACCACAGAAACATAAATTGAGATCCCCTTCTCCTGCAGATCTTTTCCACCTACACTGCAGGCTTTTCCAGAGTACAGGTGCAGTACCCTTCACAGAGCAGTACCAGTGATAACGACCTTGCCCTTCATTCCAAATACCAATCCTTGACAGCATAATTCGGTAAGAAGGCATCAAACAAACTTACCAATGAAGGCCTAGCATTCCACATTTGAAAAGTTAAGCTTGGGTCCAAAAACATGCACATTAGACAGCACCACCTAAAAGCCAATGAAATAAGAGTTTAGCTTTAGAAGAGAACATTTCTACATTTTCTTTAAATTTACAACTCCCAGTGAGTTTTGATTCACTGTCCTCCCAGGCTGTCCATCTCTGCCTAGAAAATACTACTCATCCTTCAAATCCACTGGACAGTCTCTTCCTGGAAGCCAACCCAGTGTCCCAGACAGGCCAGGCACCCCTCCTCTCAGCTCCTGTGGAACTCTGGTGAGACATTTATGGTAACACGGGGTACAATGTAACATAACTTCTTATTTGTGAATAGAGGTCCTTAGACTGTACTCTTGTGAAGAGGAGAGATCTGATAAATTCACCCCATCCCTTATCCCCACTGCCTAGAATACTATGGGCATTTAGATAGTTCTCAATAAATATTTGTAAAATGGGTGGAAAAGTTAACCCACTCAATCCATGAAGACATGCCCAGGTATCTAAAATTCTGCTGGACCACAACTGTCATCCTAGAAATGCATGCTTCAATTCCACTGCTTTTAATAGGCAATGATTAATGAGATTAATCTTCTAAATGCACACCTTTGGAATGCCACTTCCCTGAGCAGAAATTCTTTAGAGGCTCCCAGAACCTAAGAAGGCAGGCCAGACTCCACAGGCAGGCTGCCAGGCCTACAACAGCTGGCCCAGCCTGAGCCTGCAGCCTCAGTTCATGTGGTCTCCCCCAGTGGACCCCTCACTCCAGACAGAAAGGACTGGTGGCCAGTCCCTTCTCTCAGCATTCTTCCTCCCCTTCTTGCCACATTATCTCCTTCTATACTATAGTGACCTCCATTTCAACATCTTGTTCCAGACCAAGGTCATGGTGGGGCCCAAGAAGGTTTTTTTTTTTTCACTCCTTTAGAATTATGTGTGTGTGTGTGTGTGTGTGTGTGTGTGTGTGGTGGTGGTGGTGGTGGTAAAAAACATAACAAAATTTACAAGCTTAACCATTATTAAGTGTGCGGCTCAGTGGCATTACATACATTCACACTGTTGTGCAAACACTACCATCCACCTCCAGACTCTTTTTTATTGTCCACAAAACTGAAATAACAGCTCTACTTTCTCCTTTCCTCCCTGTCCATGGCACCCAAAATGTTTCTGTGGAATGAATGAATGAAGACATGAATAAATCTGACCTCGATCCTCCCGACAAAAGCCTGAAGTACTGTCTCTTTCTGCTGGACTCCCATGGTACTATCTTCACATCTTTCTCAGACCTATTTCCACCAGTCTTAAATGACCCTTTTTGCACACTTGTATTCTCCTCCAAGGCGCGAACTACTACTTATTGGAAAGGCTGAGCTTGGGTGCAAAAGCGTGCATTTAGCTTCTCCTCCATGTCATTAGATCTGACGGGCAAGTCTGTGTCTTCCCCATATAGCTCTTGCCGTCAGTGAATCACCCCGTCTTGTTGACATCTCTCTTCACTTGGCTTCCAGGCTAGCGTTCTAGGCTTTCCACCCACCTCACTCACTGGCTGTTCGTTCCCTTTGCTGGTTCTTCCTCGTCTCCCCACATCTTAATGTCAGAAAGCCCCAGGGCTCGAATCGTAGTTCCCCTTTCTATATTCCTTCTATTGGCCCCTGGGTGATCTCACCTAGCCTCCTACCACCTATACATGAAGGATGCCCAGATGTCTCTCCAAGCACAGGTCTCTTGTTTGGTCTCCTGGCTAGTATATTTTACTGCCTGCTTTAGGGAAGATGTCAAGTGGAGAGGAGGTCTCTGTGAGATGTGTTTGATGTATCAAACTTGACATGTCTCACATAGACCCCTGACCTTCCCCCAGACCTGCTCTTCCCAGAAGCTTACCAATCTCAGTTTAAGGGCATGGTCTCCTGGTCCTCTAGTTGCCCGGGTCAAAGGTTTGGAGTCGCTCTCATCTCCTCTCTTTCTCTCCCCAATCCTCACCAAAACTGGTTTTTACCTTCAAAATAATGGGTTGGTCAAAAACTTCATTTGGGTTTTTCCATAACATCTCAGGAAAAACCCAAATGAACTATTTTGCCAATTCAGTGTATTCAGAATGTGACCATTCCTCACCTCCTCCACCATCACCACCCTAGGTTACTGCGAGAGCCTCTAACTGGTGTCCCTGCTCTCTCTGCTTCTGTGTTTGGTGTCACTGCCACTTCCACCCATAGCCTAGTCTCAATACAGGAGAGAGTCTGCTATGAAGGAAGTCAGATCATGTCACTTCTTTGGTTAAAATTCTTATGAGCCTTCCCAGCAAGGACACTGCCCAAGGGATAAGTGTTTCCAAAGTAGACCAGCGGGCCCCGGGGTAGGCTGATGGGCGAGGCGGGGTCTTCTGGCCAGTGTCCCCCTCCCAACCATCTATTTCATGACTGGCAGTCCTGATATATCTCCTATTATCTGACTCCTTAAAGAAAAGATACTTCTTAAAAGGAGAAAAATATAATTAATCAACTTACTTTTCCAGTTAGGATACCACAAGAAGCCATTAACATTCACATTTCTTAAGAATTCATGAGAAAGACATGTTGAGTCTGCCACCAATTCATAACTCGTTTCCAAAGAAGAGTTAGCCTTCTGGAGAAGAGCTATTACCGCGTGGTGCTGGGGGTGAGTCCTCCTGAAGCCCCCTTCACTCACCATGCCCTGTCTGTCCAACTGTCTCCTCCAGATTCTCTCTCTCTCTCCTTGACCTGCCTGATGCTGTGGCTGGAGGTGAAGTCCAAGTGAAATAAGAATTGAAGGGCTTAAAGTAGCTCAGGTCTTATCCATTCTCCTCAGAACAACAGCAGCAGCCTTTCAACCAGTCTCCCCAGATCTACACTGATGGTTTAGCCGCTAAGTCAGGTCCAGCTCTTTTGCGACCCCACTGACTGATTTTCAGTCACAACCTCATATAGTGATAATTTTAAGGAAAACCTAAATTTGATCAAGTCCCCTGCTTTATAACTTTCCAAAGAGCTCCTGGGCTTTCCAGGTAGCACTCGTGGTAAAGAATTCACTTGCCAATGCAGGAGACATAGGAGCCACGGGTTCGATCCCTGGATTGGAAAGAATCCCTGGAGGAGGAAATGGCAACCCACTCCAGTATTCTTGCCAGAAGAATATGGGGTCGCCAAGAGTAGGACATGACTGAGCATCTAAGCATACACACATAGTTCCTACATTGCCATATGATAAATTCTCAAAATATATTACAATAAACCATAGTAAATATTCTTTTTATCTTCCCTAGATACTTTTATTCTGCTTTCTTCTTAAAAATGTCTTGCTTGACCCAACAGGGGGGTGGGGGGGCAGGTAGGGTAATCCATCCAGCTCAGATTAGAGCAATCTTCACCCCCACAACAGCCGATAGAGATGTAGGGCTCCCAAAGGCCAAGCACATCACCCAAGCTGGGCCATCCAGAGCCGTTCTCTAGAACTGATATATGGATGCAGAGAAAGGAGTTCTCCCTTCTCTGGAATTGCAACACTGGGGCTATCAGCAGTGGTGCCTCCCCAGGGAGAGAGGCCAGTCTGCAGTAGGAAAGACTGATGCTAACGCATAATGAACAGGAGGCGCCAGATGGACGACCAGCAGTGTCAACTCCTATTCCGGAACCTCCTGCTTTTGTGAACTCCTACAGCATCCAGCATCCTTCCCGGTTATGGAACCAGTAACTACTCACTCCTGCCTCTACGAGCTGGAGTCCCAACAGGCCCACTGTGATGCTTTCCCTATCTGTGCCTTTCTCCACATTAGTTCCTCTTCCCGGAACGTGAGCTCCCTGGGTTTTTACATAGCAGCCAGGCTTCCTCTGTGAGGTCAGCCCTGAAGGCCAGCACAGCCAGTCCAATCTTACTGACGTGCTCTAAAAGGCCTAGAATATACCCACTGGGTTACACCCACACCCCTCCCCTGCCTTCCCAATCTCTGAGTTCGCTGCCCAAGCTAGAAACCTCAGACCCACCTGGTCTTCTCAGAATTCCTCAAGGCCCACGTGGGTTCCCCACTTCTTCTTTCTGCCCCATGTCTGCTGTCACAGTCCAGAACCTCATCTTCTCCTCTCTGAGCTCAGGTACCAGCCTCCTGGTCTCTCTGCCCCTCCCCTTCCCCATCCCTCCACACTGTGGCAGAGATGAACTTCCAAGAGCCCTTCTACCACCTACAGAGTCAAGACCCTGGTGTGAAGGCCCTTCACATAGGGGCTTCCACCCAATCGTCTAGGTTCTCCAACCACTTCCATTTCCAGGAGGATGGAGAAGACACACTTTCCCCATTCCACCTTCTGATTACAACGAAAACTCCTACACGGGACACACAAAACAAATGTGAGAAGATTCTGAAGGCAGAGTGAAGAAGGCAGCCCAGTGAGGGGCCTCAGGCCCCGAGGAAGGACACTGTGGTGAGCGGCCCACAGTTGCTTTTGTTCTCACTTGGAATGGAAGAACCTGGAGATGCCAACAAGCACAGACCAAAAAGGCTCCAACAAAAGCTTGCTGCCTGCAGCAAGACGGACAACTTTTAGATAACAACTGCTCTATATCAGCCAACACCACAGAATAACCCATGGTCACACCCATACCATACAACAAAGGGCATGACATCTGTAAAAAACATCTACAGCTAACCATGCGCTTACTGGTGAAAGAACGAAGGGCTGCCCCCAAGATCAGGAATAGATGATGCTGTCCATTCTTAGCACTCTCACTCAACCAAGTGCTCCAAGTCCCAGCCAGCACCAGAGGCCACAAAAGGAAATAAAACAAACAGACCAGAAAGGCAGAAATAAAACCGTCATCTCTATTTGTAGATGATACGGCTGTCCAGATAGAAAATCTTGATGAATTTAACCAAAAAAGAAAAAAAAAATGCCTACAACCAATGAGTGAGTTTAGCAAGGATGAAGGATACAAAATAAAAACAAAAACTCAATTGTTTTCCTGTATACTAGCAATGGACATGTGGACACTGAAATTAAAAATCTAGTATCATTTACAATCACTAAAAAAAAAAGAAAGAAAGAAATACTTGGGTGTAAATATAATTTCTTGCAGCAAATCATTCTAGTCTACTCTGCCAGGAGGGCAGGAACAGTGTATATTTGTTTCCCTCTCCAATGAAACCAAAATACTGAGCCAGTGCCCAGCACCTAGAAGACAGGCAATATTTGTTGCCACAGCTCTGTTTAAGATAGACTTTCTTTCCCTTTATGCTCCTAGTGGGAGCATCGTCCACTCAAAAATTCCCTCTCTCATTTCTGCATTGGCAGGTCATGATTGCCAAGGAAGAACCAGGGAAGCTGTTTCTGCTCCCACTCCAAAACACACTTATGTTCTTACATTACACATAGCATGGACTGGAAATGGCTTCTCCAGGCTCCTCTCTCTTACCCAGAGGGAAACTGGGTGCCTTCCACACCAGCCCGAGGGAGGGGCCCTGAGGCTCAGCCCGAAGACCCCTGGCAATGACATGAGGCCCCTGGCAGTGCTATCCTCTCCAGACTGGGCTGAGAGGAGCCACAGACGCCGCCCCCCCCCCACCCCACCCCACCCCCCCCCCGCAGTCCCACTGCCTAAAAGCTCATTGTGAAAAAGAACTGCCTATCTGTGTTGAAGGAAGTACTGTGGAAGAGAAGAGGCTATGAGAGAGAGGTCAGGCCCAGAGGGTGTCCAGTTTCCAAAAACTTTTCCCCTCTTTTTACTTCCAAGGGTTGAAAGTTGAGTCTAATAGTCATTAAGCAAAAGCCACAATCTTAGAACCATCCTGAGTCCTTTCTTTCGGTCCCACCCCACCACCCATTCCACAGCAAAACCTGTTCCACCTTCAGAACAGAGCTCAAATCCAACCACTTCTCAGCATCTCCACCACCACCACCCCCACTCGGGACCTAGCTGCTCTCCTCACTCGCTGGATAATGCCAACAGACTCAGCTTCTCTCCCTGAGTCCTCCCTCAACACAGCACAGTGAGCCTTTCAAGATATGACTCCTATCATGCCATTCCTCTTTCAAAACGCTGCAGTGTTCCTGGCTCTCCCTGTCACTCACAAAGCAGCCAAGTCCTGACAATGACCTTAATGGCCTGGCCCCCTTACTTCTCTGCCCTCACTTTCCACCACATCTTCACCTCCTCCTCACTCCACTCCAGCCCCGCTGTTCACCTTTACCCGCTGTTCCCATGCCTAACTCTCTTCCCCAGTTAAACCCATGACTAACTTCTTCACCTCATTCACTATACACTATACCAGGAGTTTATCCATCTTTGCGAGCTTGTCAGACTCCTCTGTTCATGGGATTTTTCAGCCCTCTAGGCTTCTCTGTTTATGGAATTTTTCAGGAAAGAATATTGGAGTGGGTTGTCATTTTCCTCCTCCAGGGGATCTTCCCAAACCAGGGATCGAAGCCGCATCTGCTGTGTCTCCTGCATTGCAGGTGGATTCTTTACCTGCTGAACCATCAGGGAAGCCTGCCCACCAAAATCCATTTCCTTTTACTTGTAAGCACATGTCTGGACTACATTTCCCAGCTTCCCTTGCAGTTAGGCGGAGAAGGCAATGGCACCCCACTCCAGTACTCTTGCCTGGAAAATCCCATGGACGGAGGAGCCTGGTACGCTGCAGTCCATGGGGTTGGAAAGAGTCGGACACGACTGAGCGACTTCACTTTTCACGCATTGGAGAAGGAAATGGCAACCCACTCCAGTGTTCTTGCCTGGGGAATCCCAGGGACGGGGGAGCCTGGTGGGCTGCCGTCTATGGGGTCGCACAGAGTTGGACACGACTGAGCGACTTCACTTTCACTTTTCACTTTCATGCATTGGAGAAGGAAATGGCAACCCACTCCAGTGTTCTTGCCTGGGGAATCCCAGGGACGGGGGAGCCTGGTGGGCTGCCGTCTATGGGATCGCACAGAGTCGGACACGACTGAAGTGACTTAGCAGCAGCAGCTTGCAGTCAGGAGTACACATGTGGCTGAGTTCTGGGTGTGAGGGAGGCAAGGCTTCTTCCACACTGGCCTGTAAACGTTCCCACAAAGTCCTCTCTCTTTTTCAGCTGAATGGAAGGGAATCTGAGGGTCTTGACAGAGGCACAAGATAGAAGGAGTGTGGGTCCCTCAACAACCATCAGGAAGGATGCTTGCTAACCAGGAGCAGCCTCACTGGAACTTTTCTCTGTGAGAAATAAAAGTTTTCTTGAGTTGACACAGTGAGATTTGGGATGTCTGTTTGCTATCTGACCTAACAACTTGGTCTCCTTCTCAATGAGGCCTTCGATTACTCTATTTAAAATCCTCCCAACACTTCTTAGCTGACCACCTTACTTTGTTTATCCCCATAGTCCTTATTACCATGTAGCATACTGTATATTTTGTTTTTTTTCTCTATCACTCCAAATATGAACGTAAGCTAAAGGCAGGAATTTTTGCTTTTCTTTTCCCCTTGTTTTATCCCCTGGGTCTAGAACAGTGCTTGGCAAGTTGTAACAACAATCCTGTGTGGTTGAATGAATGAATAAATGAATGAATGGGACTATATGGGCTCCAAGGTCAGAAAGGCCTGGGTGGAGGCCTGCTCTGCCATTTACTACCTGTGTGACCTGGGGCAAGTTACTCTCCCTCTGCAAGACTCATTTTCTTCATCTGTAAAATTGGAGGAAGTAACAGTAATTTCTTTATAGAGACTGGAAATAATTAAGATCATGAATATAAATCTTTTAGTGCAGTGCCTAGAAATAGTTCAGGCTCCATAAATGCTAATTACCAACATTGTCAACTCAAGGTCAGAGGACAAGACTGGGTGTCAAGGCCCTCATAAGGTCCCTGGCAGGGCCATCTAACAGAGAGAAAGGAACTGAACAGATATTTACATGCACAAAGTCTTCTGGAAGAAATCGTGGCAAACACCTAGGTCGATTCGAGAGCTGCCTGAAAGTTCTCAGTAAATAGCAAACGATCAGAAAAACATGACAACTGGTGTCAGGGGTGATGAAAAATGTGTGCCGAGTCTGCAGAAAAGCATTGCTCTGGAGAGAGCACCACCCCAGTGATGAGAGATCACTCTGTGCCTTTTAAGAAACAATTTTCACAGCAAAGCTTGAGAAAAGAGAGGCCTCTTGCATCATGAGGACAAGGTAATAAGGCTATAAAAATGGAACTCAAATAAACCACACACAGAGCCCACATGGGCCCAATTTTCCAGGAAAAACAGCGACTGCTGCAGCATTCAGATGAGGCAGTCACACTTATGCCTGAGCATGGCAAGTAGCTTTCAGAAATCATTAGGCTGCAGAAAAGCCACAGCGTTTGCCAGATTAGCCGTGCCAGCTCTCACCTGCCCTCTCTGTACGACTGCCTCTCTCTACCAGTAAGAGGACACAGGCAATGAGACCCAGTGCCTGCATCTGCTTCGCCATCCTCAGAATACAGAGCCTCCCGGAGCGAACAGCACTGCAGTCAGGAGAGCCACGCTGCCGCTCCCACGTCTGCAGGCCGGCCGCCCCCTCCACACAGGCCCTCTAGGCTTTCTGACTGGCTCAGACACGCCCTCAGATCTCACCTCCTGGAACTCTCTGCCTTGTTGACAAACCCCTCCTTGAAACTCCTTCTTCCTGAGGCCCCTTCCACAGCTCTCACCAAACTCCCCCCAAACCCACAACCCTGATCCCTTTCATGTCCATCTCTGGCCCCTCTCCCACCTCCGCATCTCTAAACGTTGGTACCCCAAGCCTCTAAAATATGGTGTCTACCCACCTTTCTGATTCCAGTGGCTGTTCTTCCTCTATATGGGAGGCAGGACAGCTTTCTGGTTTGAAGGAGATATTCTGGAGCCAGACCAACTGGGTCTGATCTCAGTTGTATAACACTATAGTCTTAGGCAGTTAACAAACTGTTTTATGTCTATCCCTTCATCTGTAAAATGGAGATGATTATAAAAGACCTCATTTGGGTCACTGCAGAGATTAAATGAGCTAACAGAGAGATAAAGTTCTTAGAACCATGCCTCAGACCTGATGCGCTCCATAATGTGGTGGCGATGACTGCTGTTAAATGAGCCATTGTTTAAGCCAAACCCCAAACACACACCCTGTCCTTCTGCCTCAGTTTCCTCTTTGCTGAGGCCTTTAATCTTTGCTGGAGACGTGCAGGTGCTATCTCGGCCAGTCCTTAAGGTGCTGACAGGGGTAATCGCTCTTAAACACCTTTCTGTAATCCCCCACCCGAGCTGTCCAGTGAGATGGAATACCTCCCTTCTCTAACAGGGTGGGGCTGACTTCTCCCAGGGCCCTCTTCTTAATCTCTCTTGAGTAATCATTAACTTTACTTTAGTTTTTTAAAATTTTTATTGATTTATCTCTGGCTGAGATGGGTCTCTGTTGCTGGCACGTGGGTCTTCTCTAGTTGTGGCAAGCGGGGGCTGCTACTCTCTAGTTGCAGTGAGCAGGCTTCTCATCATGGTGGCTTTTCCTGTTGCAAAGCATGGGCTCTAGAGCACGGGGTCAGTAGTTGTGGCGCACGGGTTTAGCTGCCCTGAGGCATGTGGAATCTTCCCCGGCCAGGGATCGAACCTGTGTCCCCTGCATCAGCAGGTGGATTCTTAACAACTGGACCACCAGGGAAGTCTGAACAGTCATTAATTTTAGACTTGTCTTACCTTCCCACTCCCAGTTCATAAGCTCCTCAGAAACAGGGGTGCATTGGGTTATTTTTCTTCCCAAGTTTTTATCCCCTGTAACTTTATTCACTGTAAAGACTCAGTCAACATTTGCTGGATTATGTTGAAATGCAAAGCCCGGAGCCTGGGTCTACATAACAGTCAACAACAGATCAGCAGGACGGAGGAAGCCTTCCCCATCACCCCAATACAGATGTCAAGTTAAAAAGAACACAAGGGTCCAAGTGAGTGACACCTGTTTCTCTGTTTCACTCTGGCCATTTACTAATGGCCAACAAAAAGCCAAAACCATTTCAGGAAGCTGGCAATCTGCTTCCACTGCGAAGAAGACTTCTCTCCCTGACAGGCTCACTCTGTCTTAGGGAGACATGGCTTCTCCCTCAAAAATCCTGTTTACTTTTTCTTTTTTTAGGCTACTTCTCTAAAACATCCTCAAGAAGAGATCATTGTTTATTTTGTTATTGTTTTAAACAAAATGCCAAAGATACACAGACACATAATTCCTCAATTTTCCACAGGTAGATTACTCCTTAAGAGGATATATGGGGCTCACCTCCACACTTAAGAACAGACATGCCATGTATTACTTGTAGATACACAGCCTTTTCCTTACGTCTAAGTTCACATTACCATTACCCTGCTTCTTCAATCATGGAAAACACGACAAAGACCTTCCTAGCACTTAAAGTAAAATTTGAATATATCCTCATGATATTCTTAGGGAAAAAAAAAAAATCTGACTCTTTATCTAATCTTGGGCCATCACCATTAGCTAGATAAATGCCAACCTAATGAAATGATTCTGTAATACACAAAGATGGCTTAATGCAGCATTAGCTGAAAGATCAAAAATTAGAAGTAATCAAAATGCCCCACAACAAGCTCATGGCTTAATGAAGGCATTCCCTTGACAGAATATTACACAGCCATCTTAAAGAAGCATGTTGGAATGGGGGAGCCATGTGGAAAAAGCCTGAAGGTATTGTCTTAAGAGGAAACGGGATGCTAAGTGTAGGATGTGTGTTCTTGCCACTGAGGCTGCCCCAGCTGGGCAGACGAGGCCCAGAGTTTGAAGTCAGAAGCAAGGAAAGTTAAGGGAAGGCTAAGAGGAAATCCCAGTCAACAGGGCCAGTGGGGCTGGTGGTAGGAAGATGAGAAGCTTGCGCGTGGGGCAGGGTCCCTGCTAAGGGGCAGAGAACAGAAGAGGGCAAAGGTGCCCCAAAGCCAAAGTCATTTTGGGATTCCATCCCAAAGCAGGCAAGGGGAATGGGAACGGGAACCCTTCCACTGCAGAATGAATCAATCCCTGGGTGAGAGAACAACTTTCAAAGCCCTAAGATGCTTAAAGTCAAGCCTTGGCCTTTCCACGGGGCTCCCACCAGAAGGCTCAGCCCTTCCCAATCCTCTGAGGCTAATCCTGCCCCAAGGCAGGAGGGATTTAAGGGGCTCTAGCCTAGAACCCAGGGATTTAGCTTGTTTGCTGATAGCCTGGCAGATAAAGAAATTGAGCCCCCTGAGAACAAGTATCTTAGCCAAGGCCACACAGAGAGTTAGGGGCTGAGCTGACACTTGAATCTAAGCCTGCCTGTCTCTGGGTTTACAGCTCTTCCGCAGAACAACTTGGTGCCAGACAACTGACAAGTCAGACCAACTGGCCCTGCACGATGACAGAGAAGCAGCGGATTATGACCAGGTGAGCCAAGCAGAGCAGGGCAGGAAGACCCCAGGACACCAACCAACAATAGCCCCCAAAGAGGGACATGAAGGCCCCCAGGGCCACACTGTGCAAAGGCCAAGGCTTCAGGAGTTTGGGAGTTGTTCTCTCATGCAGGGATTGATTCATTCTGCAATGGAAGGGTTCGCATTCCCCTTGCCTGCTTTGGGACAGAATTCCTGAAGTGACCTTGGCTTTGGGGCACCTTTCCCATCTTCCATTCTCTACTCCTTAGCAGGCCCCTGCCCTGTGCCCCAGCCTCTCATCTTCCTACCACCAGCCCCTCTGGCCCTGTTAATTGAGATTTTCTTAGCTTGCCCCCTCCTGTACCCCAGCCCATGCCAACCCCCTGCCTCTAACCCCTCAGCCTCCTGCACTTTGTCGGTTCCGCTGAAGCTCACTGCCCCTGTGGGTGTCCCTGCTGTCCCTGAAGCCATGACCTCCAGCACTGCTGTGCCACCTGTGGGTCCCACAGGACCATCTCTGGACACGAGAAACAGACTCCAGAGCTCCTCCCCACAGCTCCCATCCCCCTTGACTTCTACCCCTACCTCCACCAGAATCCCCAATCTGAACGTCTCCTGCCAATACAAGAGACCAAACTCCCTGCCTGGCATGTAAGGTCTCCCTCGTGGAGCCCAAACCAGCTACCTGGCCAGGCCTCCTAAGGCACCCAGCCCCCTCCCCAGGTTAAGCAGGGGCTTGTTCCTTATGCCACCTCCAGAAGGCATGCTCTCCTCACCACCCCAATGCCCCTATGTGCCAGCTCAAGCTTTGTCTCATTTTTTTCTTCCAAACACACTGATCTCCACTGAAAGAATCCAACCCTTTGGGGTCTAAGTAGCCAAAGATCCAGGCTCTCAAATATGGAACAAGCAGCTCATCCTGACGCCGTGGCTGTGCACAGGAGCGCCTTCTCTCCCCAAATCCACTTGAAACACACCATCAGAGAGCCCGTCATTTCAGCAGTTGTCAACTCTCCCTTGACCCCTCCCCGCCTTGGGAATGGATGCAAACGTTAGGCAGTGATGCTGGAGCCAGGACAGCTGGTAAGGATACTGGCATATTCAAAAGCATCCCACTTGCAGTAAGCACTTCCTGGGCTCCTATTCTGGGCCAAATGGCAGGCAAAGGGCACAAAGACACAAAGTCAGACACACCGGTTGTTGCAGGAATTCAAAGTCAAACAAGGCAAGGAGTGAGGTAAGCCTCACTAACGCAGCATGACAAAAGCCAGCCAGAGAGGGAAGGGACAGAGGGAAGAGCCAGGAAGAGAGGCAGCAACGATTCAGTTCAGCCGAGAAAGGTGTGGGGAAGGGCTCAGAGAAAGCCGAACTGAGCTGATCCCTGAGGGGTAATCAACAAGAAACACAACAGCCTTCCCCACGTACTGGGTGCCGACTGTAAGCTGAGCACTGCGCCAGACACTTCACTCGCTCTGTCGCAAACTTATCCACTCATTCATTATGGAGCGGACTACCTGTCAGGCTCTAATTTAGGCACACCAGATAAATACAAAATAAACACAAATTGCGGCCCTCAGAACCTAGATCCTGTAGAAAAAAGACAAGACAATAAACCAGATAAGTAAAATGTATTATATGTTAGATGGTGATAAAAGCTAAGAGGAAAAATAAAGCAAAAAAGGGAAAAGGGAAACATGGGGGTGGGGCAGTGGGCTGGGTGGTACAACTTTACACAGGGTGACATTAGAGAAAAGACCTGGATAAGCTGAATGAACAGCCATAGGGGTATCGGGGGAAGAGCATTCGGGGCACAGGTGCGCACACTGGCAAGAGCTTGGACAGGAAGCATGTTTGGTGTATCTGAAGAACAGCAAGGGCTCCAGCATGGCTGGAGAGAAGCGAGAGAGGGGCAGGCAGGGTCGGGGCGGACAGCTGTACATGTTGTGCACTGCACAACTCAAGAAGGTGCAACTCACATGCACCACGGTGCGCCATGCAGAACCAGTCTGCTCAAATCCTCACCAGGCCCTGGGGTGGGAGACAAGGTCAGAGAAGTACCAGGAAGCCCTATGGGCCAAGAGAAGGCTTTTCCTCTGAGTGAGACAGGAATCAGCCGTCAAGAGAGTTCTGAGCCTGAGGCATGACCTGAGCTGATCTCCTCTTCATGGGATCACGGGCTGAGAGTACAGGCAGGAGACAGGCTGGAAGCAGGAGACCGCTCGGGAGGCTACTTGTAATAATCACACTCAACTATGTATCTCACATCCTCACAATCCCGTGAGGCCAGTGCAATGCTCACTCTTTCACAGATGAAGAGATTAGGCTCCAGAGATCTGGTCACTAGCCCAAGGTTCTGGCCTCGGCAGTGGCAGGCTGGCCAGGAGTGGGAAGTGGGGGATGAGAACATTCCAGGGGGAGTGAACAGCATCAGCCATTGAACAGGAGACTGGCAGGGCTGGCATACTTGGGGAAGGACAAGCTCATGATCCAGGGAAGGTGGAGGCAGGGCTGGTGCACAGCGGCAAATAGCCAGGCAGCCGGTGAGGCCCGTCTGTGCCCTGGCCACTCCCACATGGCTGCCTACAGTGTGTGTCCAAGCAGTGTCCAAGCCAGCGCCGCTGCCCAGACCAGAACTGCCACCTCTCAGCTCATCTTCCTCTCCATGCCAGTCATCCCTACCTCAGTCTACAGGCAACCAGAAGAGTCCTTGAACAACACAGATTAGATACTAGTTTCTTGCTCTCAGCACTCCAGCGGCTTCGCATTGTGCCAGGTGACTAGCAGACCCTCAGCTGATGTCAAGTGAAGGGATGACTCCCTCATCCCTGCAGCCTCAACCAGCCCTGGCCCTGGAAGGGGCAGGACACCTTCCTCCTCCCTCCTCAGCAGGTGTGGCCAGTGAGACCCTATTAACCCACCAAAATGCAGGAGGAGAGGGCAGCCATTCAGACCACCTGGGGCAGCTTTGAGATTCAACTTTTTAAAATAAAATTGCTTACTTCAAAGCAAACTGGAGGCGCTTTAGCACACTGTGGCCAAGGAGAAGGAGGTCTGCAGATACGCCCAGGCTGGAAAGACTGTAAGAGGTGCCTTGTCCCTGAGTCCCCAGCGCTCTGGACAACATTCTTCGTGTGGATGATGTCTAAGAGCTGTGTGAGCAGGACAGAACCGCAGGCACTAGGCAGGCAGTGAAAGGCTTTCCTCCTGGAGACTGTGAACTCAAAGGGTGGAGCCAATGACTGCATTCTTTTCCGGAGCCCTAATACAGTGGATCCAACGTTCTCTCAGAAACTAGGGAGAACTATGAAGCTAAGGCTTAAACAAAACTTTACAAAATGTGAGCCAGCCAGGCCTCCTGAGGCTTAACTCACTGCAAAGCCCTTTGTGATGAGTAGAAGGAGGTATATAAACATACACACATGCATGTATGTAGGTCTATTTTTAAAGGAATGGTAACAACACCAAAAGAATGAGAATAGTAACAAGCTCTCCCCCACCCACCCACCCAGGAAAACTGAATTTAGCAACAAAGAGCCTCCCAAGGAGGCCCTGGTAGGAGTGTTAGCCGATCACTGCATGAATGACTTGTTTCTCTGGTTAAACTGCACCACTGTGGGTGGGAGAGGGTGGGGGGTGCACTGAAGCCAAGTGAGTCCCCAGACCCCTTCAGAAGGCAGATAACCTCCTGGTTTTCTGTACTGCATCAAACAGGTACGAGAAAAGCTTCAAAGGCTTTGTTCTTTGTGCAGGAAGATGGGAGAAGTAGGGTCAGAAAAGCAGTCCTAACGTCTGTAGAGGAACGAGGTTGAGTCTCCATGGGGGTGAGGGACCTGTGTGTCCTGGTTTTCAAAAGGAGGGGACACAAAGAGCAGGACGGATGGCTGAGTCCTACCCTGACAGAGAAATCAAATATAAAAGACGACTCAACAAGGATGTTCAGGAAAACTGCTTTCACTTGCCCAACTCCAAGCATTTCTGGGCAGTCTAAAACTAAGCGTGTAGTGAGGCGGAAAGATCCTGCGAGAGTTGGTCATCAAGAGTTTCAGAAAGGGCAACAAGGGCTCAGTGAATTCTCTTCCAAACATGCAAAGGTCAGACTCGGCCATGAGCAAAAGGACTGGGGGTGGCTGGGTGATGGGGAAACCCAGTGAAGTTAATTGAAACTAGTTTCCTGACAGTAACAGCCCAATGTCCCACTGAAGGGACAGTGAGAAGCTGGTCCTCATTCAAAGTTGAGAATTATGGAGAAAATGTAAGCTTGTCTTTAGACAAAAGTTCGGGCATGCATAAATCTAGACTCCTGTGTGCAAACTGGCTCATCACTGTTCAGAAAGGATGGACATGCACTTGGGTAATCCAAACATGGGCCAGGGGAGGGGCAAAAGAGCCAGCCCCTAGTTCATGCCTTCAACTTTTGCTTCCTCCGCCTGTGGACTCTGGCTGGCCCAGGCTGACAGAATGGGAGAAGCAGCTCAGAGGTCTCTCTGTCATCTCCTCCTTCTGCACCAGTAAGTACTGAGGATGTAGAAAGAGGCGGGCCTTGGAAGCATCCCAACACTGGACCCTCCTGCTCTACTACAAATGGGGGCACCTTTGGGGCCGATCTTACAATCAATTGGTAATTATCTTTATCACTTATTTCTCTGTGAACTGTTTCTCCCACCTGAATGAAAGCTTCAGGGAGCAGACGCCAGGTCTGCCTTGCTCGTCACTGTGCTCCCAGCCAGCATCTAGAGCAGTGGCTGCCACACCGCAGGACCATAGCAAACGAATGCACGGCTTGGGGACTGCCTGGCTTCAAACACCAAGCACTCATCTCGAGGAGCTGTGGCTGAACCTGTCCTGCCAGGAGTGGGCTAAGTGCCGGATGGATCACTTCATGCCTCCCCCAAAGCTCTCAGCCAGCTCAGGGCCCCCACCCCACCTGGCAGTCCCGACTCATTCTCCCCAGTGCACTCACTCAGCACCCAGCACGGCTCAGACCACGCACCTGAGCCACAAGAAGGGGAAGCC